GACAAATATATGCTGATGTCTGAAAAAGTCTCCTCCGGTACAGGAACAACGTATTTGGACGTGGTTGCTTCCCACTCCTGAGGAACTGTGATGATGACGCAAAGGTCAGAGGATCTCTGATCCTCTTTGCTTTCCACGCATTAATCTTGGCTATGAGTCAGCCAAGATTAATGCGTGCGCACACACAAGCACACACACACACACACAAACACACACACACACACACACACAAAAGAAAAAAGTACCGCGTCCCAAATGTAGAGATAATTACAATGAAATATATAACATTGCATGATGTTGTTTAGGAGCTAACATGCGTTGGTTAGACATTTATGCTCTCGAAACGTTTTACGCTAACCCTGTGACCTAAGTAACAAAAAATGCTATCATAGCAATTGAACAAAAAAAAAATCCACCCTTCCTTTGTGGTTTTTTTCCAGGTAACTCAGAGAAATATTGTAACTCGACAACTTCCTTGCCTTTCGCAAGACACAATACCAGAATGATCAAATTCGGCTGGGAGAAGCTCCGGCACGCACCGCGGCCCTCCTGAGGATAAAGCGGCTCGGAAAAATGGATGGCTGGATAGTTTATCGCAGTAATCAAGAAGAAATGATTCCTTGCACCAAAGTACTAATCTGTGAGCTCATTTGCATCCACACGCTCTCGCCTGTAGACAGCGGTGGTTGTTTTCAAGTGCTCTCGAAATGCACTTGAGTTGAGTTCAAGAAGCGCAGAGTCTAAAAGGAAAATGATGAGACGACGATTTCCTACTGTCCCGACAAAGCGATCTCACTTGTATAGAAACTTTGGAGGGAGGGAGGAAAAGGAGTCTTTGTGGCTTAATGTTGGAAGTGACTCAGCTGAAATGCACACTCATTCATCTGTTTGTTGTTTGAAATGACTTTTTGGTCTGGGAGGGGGCAGGACCGAGGAAGAGGATGAAAAGTTACACTTTGCCATCCAAGACAGCAGGCATTCTTGCACGTATGTCAGACGATAGGATAAGGCAGCGGTGAATGGCCCGCGTCCCACATGTGGCCCACCAAGTATTTACATGATCAAAACTCCCTCTATTATTTGCTGCTTTAATTTGGCCGGCCGGCCCTGTGCCACCAAAATGGCCATTGAAAATTCTTATCCTTTTTTTTTTTTTTGAACACATCCATCCATTTTCTAATCCGCTATTCTTCAGAAGGGTCGCGGGCATGCTGGAGCCTACCCTGGCCATCATCGGGGAGCAGGCGGGGGACACCCTGAACCGGTCGCCAGCCCATCACAGGGCAAACATAGACCAACAACTGTTTGCGCTCACAATCACACCGCGGGACAATCTTAGAGCGTTCAATTAACCTGCCGTGCATGTTTTTGGAATGTGGGAGGGAAGCGGAGTACCCAGAGAAAAGCCAGCGCGGGGAGAACATGCAAACTCCACATCGGAAGGCCGGAGCCGGAAACCGAACCCTGCACCTCCGCGCAGCGAGGCGGACGCACTTACCGGTCGACCGCCCTGCCGCCTCATTTCATTCATTATCTCAAGAAATGATTGTTTAATTGATTGATTATAAGTCAAGTTAACCGGGTGCTTGTTTTTGTAATGAATAAGAAACGCACACCTTTACACCAAAGTATCTATTTTTCCTTTACTTCTAGGATAAGGAACTGTAAATCCATCCAGCCAACCATTTTCACCAGCGCTTATGCTGCATTCACACCCTCGTCCACGCCGTCACTGAGCGGGGACCGGTCCCACGCCGGACTTGCGCGCGTGCCGCTACATCGTCAGCGACTAAACTGTACCTAATTCCCTTTCATAAGCCAGTCACACCCTCGTCCACGGCGTCACTGAGCGGGGACCGGTCCCACGCCGGACTTCGTGCGTGCCGCTACATCATCAGCGACTAAACTGTACCTAATTCCCTTTCATAAGGAGAATGGAAGATTGTCGGAGGGATTTCGGCGTGAACCGAGAGGCCTCTGATTCGGTCGCTTATGTCTGCGCTCTTATAGGGTGGAGTCTGGGATCGTGGCTGATATTGAGGTGGACGCCCTGCTGCCAGCAGACTGCAATACCTTCTACCAGATCAAGCGTCAGACCACACAC